ACTCCGTTTCACCTTATCATTATCTGTGTAGACACTACGAGCCATCGAAGTCAATCCAGTGCCATGTGGATGTTGTGATCTTCGGGAGAGTCAAAGCGATGCGCAAAGAGCAGGGTGGAAAAAAAAAAGAAACATGATTTATTAATGCAAAAGCATTAACTGTCCCATGGAGCGAGCAGACGTTATCAGCCGCGCTAAACGGCAGATAAATTCCCGAAGCCGCAATCAGAGACATCCCAGCCTTAAAGGGAAACTGAAGCAATTCTCTATTTGAGAAAAAACACTTCAATGGCCTTCATTCTACCTCCAGGATCAAGAATATCAAGATTATTTTTCAATTTTGTGCACGGAGGCTTCAGAAATTAATTTTTAAAGTACCGCCGAAGCCCCTCCTTCCCGGGGCGTGACGTCACACTAGGAGCTTTCGGAATCTCTGCTCTCGCGCAACTTCAGCGCCTGTCAAAGTTATGCACGCGCACTCTTGCTATTTTCAGAAAGGTCAGAAAGAGACGTCACGACTGGTGTCAGTGCGGGGAAATATACCTGGCAAGCTTGCCGTTGCACGCGCTGCCCACACGAGCGACACGCGCTTGGCGGCCCGAAGATCCTAGTATGACGTCACGACTGGTCGAATGTTTTTTTCGCTTTTTCTCGCTTTTAGTTGCATCTTCAGGGAAAACAAAAGTGATATTCAGATTCACGGGATAAAAATACGCCAGAATGCACCTCTAGCTCGTTTTTTTCAAGAAGTGTTTCAGCTTCCCTTTAAAACTACGCAAAAAGCCACGCAAACGGCAGTGATATGAAGTTGCCGCGCTTCAATTTCAATTAGCGCCACCCCATGGCGCTGCGTGCCTGCGCTGGAGCAGAAACGGCCGAGTCGCCAAGAGGATCAGAAGTGGCCACGGCGCAAAGAACAACATTCATGCTTTCCCATTCACAACTCATAAGAAGTGCTTAGGTGTACCTTGAACCTTTTTTTGAAAAATCAGGTTAAATTGATCCAAAGCACTGTAGCTAGAAAATAGTGATTCTTTACTACTAGATGTATTTTTCAACAGAGTAAATTGATTGATCAATTCATCCGATCATTGATAACAGTGTAGAGGAAAGAATTACTATGAATGTAAAGTAAAATTAAGTTAACCTTATTGCTATAATTCCCGCCATACTAGAGCAAGAACAGCTCGATTTGTTTGACCAGTTCAAAAGCTTTATCTTCTTTCTTTTCTTTCGCATTCTGGCTTGATTGCAATAGGACATTACTTGCCTAGTTCTTGTTTCTTTCACATTCCAATTTTCTTGCAATAGGACGTTACGCAGCTGAAGGACAAAGTGGAAGGTAGGAACCAAACTCAACGCTCAGACTTGCTCAGAAAAGCACTTCTTTTTGCATACGTTCAGCCTTATACAAATCTTCCTTGCTTAGCAATTCTTTGATTTAAAAAAAAAAAAAAAAAAAAAAGCACATAGAAAGTATGGAGTGACAGACAAATGGTAATAAAAGATATTTGAGGGATCATTTTTGCGGAAAAAGCTTGACTTAAGTCACCACAGTAAAACCGGTTATATTAAATTGTGATTTAAATCACGATTTAAATCGCGCTGATTTTTATTCTCCGCCTTGGCGGGGAGTGTAGTCATGTGATACGTTCACAGCACTGAAATGGTTGGGATGACTTACAGCATCTGCTGTGGCCCATCGTAAAGTCTGGTCCACATTTGAGTGTGCTCAACATCGTTGCAGCCTCTTGCAAGCGCTTACGACAAAATATGCTGGGGCCCTCTATTGGCTAGCCCTGGAACATCTCTCATCTACGTATATTTTTTTACACATTACTCACTCACCTTGGGGCTGCAATATTTCTGAAAGTGTTATTAGTAGGATTTCGCATTTTCGGAGTTTGTTTATTGTGAAATTTGGAAGTTGTTTCTCGGATTTTATTTTCTGCCAAAAAATTGGGGTTTGTTGCAGTTTTTTTATGTTAGGTTTCCAGTTCTTTGAAGAACAAAGTTTAAATTTACTATGTTCACAATTTTTCGAAGTGCAAAAAAAAAAATCCAAACATAAACATACCCTAAATTATTCGGAACTAAACTGTATCCAATGATATTTCTGCAGCTGCATTTGACATTGGCACTTTGCCATAGGCAATTTTAACTAATATCTCATGACGATAACCGTCGCTGGGAATCTCTGGGAAGCATGGAACTTTTAGCTGCCCTCCCCCTCCATTGAAATATAGAGATTCATAGCTATCATTGTTCTAAAAACACTTCCCCTCCTTTCTCTGAGAAGCACACAAATAGTATAATCCAGACAAGAAACCTAAGCAATGACTCTGGTCGTGACCCAAAGGTCCCACGACCCATTGTTCTGAACAAACCTTGATGAGCCCAAAGGTAAACCCCATCCTGTCGACAGTCCGAGATTTGAAAGAAAACTAAAGTGACCTTTCCTCAGGATTACTGACCTGGTGTTTTCATTAAATTTATTGGTGAAATGCCGTCTTTTTTGCTTTTTATTTTGAAGTCATGACTCGAAATTTGGAGGTTTCCAAATAGACCCGAATAAATGGAAATTTTACCCGCAAGTGTTTTCAGGATTTTTTCGGATTTTTCTTGCATTCTCATACATCTGACCCCGCAAGTACTGCAAAACCTCAAGTCCAGTGATACAGAGATCATGGCTTCCGAGATTCTAGGTATGCAAAGTTCTCCTCTGGCCGTTCCAATGCTCATTTGCCCAGTAGAAGGGGCGTAGTATTAGCGCAGCTTCTAGAATTCCGCAAAGCGGTGTTCCTTCAGAGCCAGCATCAGCACCTCAAAGGTCAAGTGTGTGCACACGGCATGGAGCTCGCATTTTCGTTAACACTGCGAAGGCTGAGGTGCCGTAAGCGCATTGAGATACGATTCAAGTGCCGCTCAGCTCATGTGCTGGCTCTAGCAGAGCTTTTTTTTTCACCCAGCCTTTGCTAAGACACGGCTTCTAGCTAGGGTGACCAGATGTCCTGTTTCGGGTGGGACAGTCCCTTTTTGAAGCTTCCTTCACACTACGCCATCACTTTGACTTGAAAAAGCTTCAAGTCCCATTTTCGTGGGAACCTGCAGTTGAGAATTCAGTACTAAGCGAATGGAACAAAACCAAATGAATGTTTATTCCGTAACGACATAATTTTATAAAAGATAAACATACTAGCTATGAAAATGTTACTTCCCATACACCACAATTTTTAACTCTTCCCTTTGTTACATCTGCCAGACTTTTCTTGTAGTACTACTGAATTTTGCACGTTACTTTGGCGACAATGAAACCGTGACGGGAGTCACTTGCGTGACCCCGGAACAATTTGCGTTTCTATGCTTAAATGACTACACTCGTTTTCACCTCAAGAAAAAAATAAGGGAGTTTTGCGTATTGTTCATGCGCCACACGAAGTAGTTTTTACAATATTTGGTTATTAGAGGAAGAAGACATGCTTTCGGCATTTGAAACGTATCTGTCTTGGTAAGACATCATGCATCTAATATAAAATGTACCTACACATATCTCAATTCTCTACACGAAAGGGGACATTAGTAATGCTCCTCGACGAGCCAAACTTTTGTTACTGCAGTTCTTGAGGTCAAAACGAGTATAGTGGCACAATTTTCTTTTAAAACCCCCCCCCCCCCCCCCCCCCCCTTCTCCTCTCCCCAAACCTGAGTGTTCCGTTTTCTACCTCGAGGATAATGGGTCATCCTACTTCTAGCAAGCTGACCCTTGCTAGAAGTAGCTTGTTGCAGAAAACTGCACTGCGGCCAAAGGGCCAAAGCCGTTGAGGCCCTGCCAATAGCGAAGTCGTAGCAAGCGGCATCCGAGAAACTCTCAAGCGATACGTGACAGACAACAGAACGGAAGTGATGGGTAAAATTAAACCAAGAGAGATATCATGAGAAAAACAGCGTAATTCAAAGTTTTAAGCGCACAACAAGTCCAAAGAACCTCTTATACCTCTACTCAGTAGCACAATCAGGAGGGGAAAAAGGAGCATAACATTTCGCCTGCTCAGTTTCACAAAGACAATGGTATTTTTAAGTTGGAAACTTTATCAAGACACGCCACTGAGTCACCTTTATTTTTCTATGAAAACGACTGGATGTGCAGTTTGTTTGAAAACAATATCAGGCATGCATTTATCCTACAATCTTCCCGGTTTTAAAAGCACACTGCTCGGATTCCCGCCTACCGCTTCCTTTAAGAAGTAAAGTGCATTGTGGCGAGAAGCAATGAGTATAACTCGGGCAAACAAGCGCATTCTTACTATTCGGACAGCTAGCCAAGCAAGCCCGACGACGTGGGTGAAGATGATCATTTGTGGCTGTTACTCGAAACCTAGCGCCACCACGTGGCAGAAACAGCGCCGCAAGTCATGTTTTTTTCAATGTCCAGTCTCTACTGGAGAATGGAATGGCTGGAGGAAAGTTTTGCACAACAGGAACCCCGGAGGCCACACCTAGACTGGAAATATTCCAGACTGGAAGTCTCAGACTGGAATTGCCAAGAATCTCACAGGCCATGCCAAGACAAAAAGCTCCAGACTGGAAGCGCCAAGAATCTCAAAGGCCATGCCCATATTGCAAGCATTCCAGACTCAAAATTTCAGACTGGAAGTGCCAAGAATCTCATAGGCCATGCCAAGACTGGAAGTGTTTTAGACTGGAAGTTCCAGAGTGGAATCGCCAAGAATCTCAGAGGCCATACCCAGACTGGAAGTGTTCCACACTGGAAGTTCCAGACTGGAAGTGCGAACAATCTCGAAGGTCGTAGCCAGACTGGAAGTGTTCCCATGCTACCCGATAGATAGTGCAGTCTGTTCTCTAGTCCTAAGCAGTTACAAAAGGTTGCAATGCAGTCGAGCGCACTCAAATGCAAACGTGTAAACCAGTCTTAAGGTGAAACAGAGTACAGCGACAACAGACAATGTTCCGGGATTTTCCTTGGCAGACGATGCACCCACCTGGTGGAATGGCTGGAGCCCGCTGCAGCCAGGTGGCGGCTCCTCACTGCGGCGGCGACGGCGCTTGCGGCATGCGCTCTGCGCCTGGTCGTCCCCCGGGACCATCCCCACGGCGACCGCCTGGGCCCCGTGGGGCTCGAGCCGGGGGTCGAGATCCGCAAAGATGGCGTCAATCTCGAAGGCGGGGTCCGCCAGCTGCCGCAGGATCTCTTCCTCCTCGTCGATGCCCAGGCCGTGCAGGTCCGTGTGGGTCAATTCGGTCAAGACGTCCGGCTGGGGTTCCACCATCACGTTGGGACCGCTGTCCTGGGGATTCACAAACAACCGGCGAGGGTTAGAATGGGGCCTGGCGGTAATACACGGCATAGCTCACGAGAAGGCAGGAGACAACCGGCAATATCCCAGGTAAAAATCAGTCCATTAGCAGCTGGATTATGGAACTGGTCTTAGCTGGATCCAGCTGGATTGTCTCAATTCTAGCTGGATTCTTTCATTTTCAGCTGGATCCAGGTGTATTGTCTTATTTCCAGCTGGATCCAGGTGGATTGTCATCATCTCCAGCTGGAGCCAGCTCCACAATCCAGCTGCAGGTGGAGTGATTTTCACCTGGGCTGTTTATGGCAGTTTTTTCTCAAACTCCCTTTCATATTTCGCAGTGCTGTTCAGCGCTCCATGCGCACCGTAAAAGAGCTCTGCATTGTTTTGCCAGTCTAAAACCAGCATCTGTGGAAGAGGGGTCGCACCCAGAAGACTCACCAGCACAACAATAAGCTGTCTGCTGGTAGACTATATTAAACAGGCAGGTTTTCAGAACTGTATCAGAACCAACCACATGTCCATAAATGCACCAAGCTTGTATGTAACGCACTGAAAATAGTTTATAATTGATCTTCATTCTCCCTTGACCCTCAGGTACTTATTCCTTTGCTGGTTTTCTTTTAAACACACACACACACACACACACACACACACACACACACACACACACACACACACACACACACACACACACACACACACACACACACACACACACACACACACACACACACACACACACACACACACACACACACACACACACACACACACACACACACACACACACACACACACACACACACACACACACACACACACACACACACACACACACACACACACACACACACACACACACACACACACACACACACACACACACACACACACACACACACACACACACACACACACACACACACACACACACACACACACACACACACACACACACACACACACACACACACACACACATACTCTCTTTATCTCTCTCAAAATTTTAGATCTTAGGGAATGGCCATTTCTCTTCATTGGTACCTGAGCAATGCCTCCTGGTTTTGTCACTGATGCAGTACAGCAGCACAGAAGCCAACAATAGCCCTTGTAAGCATACATTTGCATAAAAAGAGTGCTTGCCACTAGCTATGTGTCATGAATGGCTCAGATTTTCCAAGTACTTAAACGGAAGGACACTTTGATCAAGTGCAGGAATTGCCAAGGGGTACTCTGGGGAATCCCTAGGGTTACTCTGGGGAACCCCTGGGGGTACTTTGGGGGACGTCTGGGGTACTCTGGGGTTATCCCCTGGGTTCCAAGGAAGCCAGTCCGAGCACCCATAGTCTACAGATTGAAATTATTAAAAGGACTAAGATATGATTTTGTACATTGGGATTTTGTACAGTGGCACCAACAAATCCTGAATGTTCATTAAACCTTAAACAAAAATATGTTTTTGTTTCAGTCCCTTAACTTTTATAAAAAGAAATGCCGCAAACCCAGCTTTCCTCCTCGTCTTGCCAGCAAGAGGAGTGGTCACATGTATCGCGATGGATTGTACCATAGAAGCACTGCCCAATCCTCTGGTCTTTGGCCAGAACAAGCTGCCTTGGCATTGTTTTGCCGACACATGCTGCCAATGTTCATCATAGCCATGCAGCTAGGTTGGCAATGCTCATAGCAAAGCATGTGCCCAACAGAGGCCATTGCTATAGTTCTTCAATTCTCGTCACAGTGAAAATCAAGTTCCTTGCTTCCCCGCATGCTAGTTTCCTATTGCCCCACAAATCGATATTCAGCTATTAAAATTCAAACCGAATATCATTTCCCTTTTCTCTTTAAAAATTGACCTGCAGAACTGCAGAATATTTAGCAAGGCTGAAAACAGTTTGTTTCGTTTTATTAAGGCTCACAGCAGGAACTTGGTCTGGTCTCTACTGCAGAAGAGCAACTTTGCTAGCAGAGTACGGCTGCTAACCTGGGGTCCTTAACGTGCGTCGTGCAGCAGCGGTTAGACAGCTCCGTGCCAGTGCGATGCTCATCCACATCATAACACAGAAGGGCATGGTTCAAAACAAGAAATAATCTCTAGATCCTGCCGCCTTGGTGACACCGAGAAAAAGCGCTGGTCCTCAGTTCTCCGCTGGGGCCTGCCAAAACTCTTCGTTGTTTTAATTAACATGTTAAACCCCCAAATTTGACCTCGATCGCTGGATTCTGCGATAAAAGGTTTCGCTGGGCGTGGTAGGAGCTGATGCAGTGCACTAACACACATGGTCACCAGTGTCCCTGGCAGGACATATAGGATCCTAATGGGCACAATAGCAACATTCAGGGACACTAAATTGCGAGTCCTTCAACTTGACTAATGGCAAAGAGACAAGAGGGAAAAGCTAATCATAATTAGCCTTTCAATGGAGACAACAAATTTTGTTTCTCTCTTTTTACAAAACAAGCTGTATATCATAAATCGAAACCTGAATTTTTCAAGTGGGATTCAAAAGCATTATCAGATGCTAAATATAATTACCGTATTTTCCGGACTACAGTCTGCAGCCGGTGTATAGTCCGCAGGGGCAAATTTCGGCTGAAAGAACATGTTTTTCCTTAGATAGTCTGCGTCTGCTGCACAGTCCGCTCTTTGTCTTGGCTTCGTCCACGTTTCAGTCCTGTTAGAAATGCTTAGTGCTTAAGTTCCCCAGGAAATACTATTCCATGCTGAACAATGAAACAGAACAAATTTAAATTGTGTAGAACGCTCTTGACGCCCCTTTCCTTGCTCTCGCTAAGGTCTTTGGCAACCACCACATCACCAATTCCCTGGGAAGGCCTGATGTCCATACACGGTATCCTAGCTATCCTTGATAGCTACAATTGAGCACGCTTGATTCTTAACCTCAGTATCTCTCTCATGCTCCTCATGCTTTTTTAGCATATTAATATGAAACACCTTCCTAGTATGCCCTAAAAATGATCTTTAAATTCAAATGAAAATGAGCACAAAAGCTCTTCATTTCAGAGGCACAGGGACCATGGTTCCTGAAAGACTACAGAGTGACTTATTTATTTGCAGTAAAATATTTAGAATCGTAGGGAGCAGGAGGTCGTGCAGCCAAGATAAAGCTTGATCCACGCTGCCTGCCTGGGGAGAGCCATCTTGACCGTCACCCGCAGAGGCACAAAGGGCAAAGGAAACACTTTGACAGCTCTTGCTTTTTTTTGCTGACTAATGCTCACTGTTAATTAAATATGATCCCGACAATCGTACCGGCTTGTCTGGGTCTTCAGAAACAAATTTTTGTGTTAGTCTGCACTTGTAGATAATCCATCCGTGGTAAAATACAATCTTTTAAACCAACCTTTAAAATTGTAGTCCAGAGAATATGGCAATAGAACCTGAGGTATATGGAAAGACTCAGAATAATTCCGCTAATTTTTACAAGTAACTAATTTAATAACATATCTTGGTAAACTATCAAGAACGCTTATATGAGTCTGTACACAAGGTGCTTGTTATTTTACATTTGTTTTAAGAACAGTGTGTGGTTAACATAGTGTCTTGTAATGAAAACATAAAATGGGCCTTACAATAATTTAATAGAGTAGCCAATTGCATATGCTACAAAATTTGAAAACTTTGGTGCAATAAAGTTCACCAAAGAAGTTTGAAATAACATTTGTAAGTTATGAAATGTAGTAAAAAAAAGAAACAACAGTAAAAGTCCTATCCTGAAATATAGAAAATTTATTCTATCAAGTTTTTGCAAATCAGTTCTGCTGAGACTTCTCAGCAATACTAAGAAGTCTGAGACTTCCTGTAAGACAGCATCTTAGAGATACTGTAATACAGTTTGAAGGTGGGTTAGTCGGTGCATATTCGTGACAGGAAAAAAAAAGGTCCATTTTCTCCTGTTACGAAAGACACAAACAGTTCTGCATTTGTGTCTTTCGTTTACTTGTCCTTGTGCATTTTTTTATGCTGTTTTCTCCCGTTACTATCTTACAGGTATTATATAAAAGCCTTTTGGAATGGTCTAGCTTGAATAAGGGAGGCGATGTGGGTTAGTTGGTTCATACTGACGAAAAGGCAAACAGCGCACAGTAAACGGGGACTAAAGGAAGTGCAAACAGGACAAGCGCTGACTCTCAAGTGAAATTTAATCACATGAAAACAAAACAAAGAAAACAGCAACTCTGCCCATGTCCCATGATACATTCACCACGCGTCCAAAAAAACAATCTCTTTACTACTCAAGCCCAGTGACATTTGGCTTACGCAGTTCGCCTCTGCTTTGAGGCGCATGCAATTATCAAAGCAGGCGCGAACTGCGTAAACCAAACCTCACTGGGCTTGAGTAGTAAAGAGATTGTTTCTTTGGACACATCGTGAATGTATCATGTGACGTGGGCAAAGTTGCTGTTTTCTTTGTTTTGTTTTCATGTGATTAAATTTCAGTTGAGAGTCAGCGGTTGTCCTGTTTGCACTTCCTTTAGTCCCCGTTTACTGTGCACTGTTTGCCTTTTTGTCTAGCTTGAAGTGTGCAGGCCCCAAAAAAGTTGAGCTTGCTACAAATGTGGAGGTTTCGTTTATAAAACAGTTTAAATAGATTCAAGTAACTACTGTAGTCCATAGTTGGTGACAGCCCTTTCATGCCGAAACTACTTTCTCTATAAAAAATGCAGATAAATATTTTTGAATTGATAAATTATTTATACTGCTTATGCCAATCCTGAGCAACATTGGGCATTTATTAACCCTACTCAGTGTAGATTCTTTGAAGCATTTTCTGCTGGGGACCAGGCAAGCATGCAAGCTGCACTTGCTGCAGTGAGCATATTCGTCAAAGATATTAGCTCATTAATTTCTTCTTGAGAAAGTCTTTGATCCTGTCTGGTACCACTCATCCAGGCAGTGTGAACAACCCAAAAAACAAAAATAACAACACTACTTTTTAAAGTTATTATTTAACTTCAACCAGCTACGC